TTAAAATATCAGGAAGATTTTGACTTTCTTATAGAAAGCTTAAACTCTTGGAGTCATGTGAGTATCAGCAAATCTCAGCTTCCACCAAAAAAAAAACCAAACCAACAACCAAACCAAAACAAAAAACCCCCAAACCAATGTACGTGAAACCTTAAAAATGCTGAGGAATTTGAAAGGAAAACCCTTATGCTAGAGAAAGAGAGGCAGTTGAAGACCTGCAGAAGTGTTATGTATGTATATATGTCTGTAGGTGTATGTGCATCTATCTAAACCTCCTGGATTTGAAAGATTGAGGTTAGAAGCAGTGTGGCATTGGGCTCCTCCGAAATGATGGTTTGATTCTAGTTAATTGCACGATTTCAGGATTCATCCATTCCTGTTGTAGCACTTCAGTAATTTTAATTTTGTAAGTACAGAATCAGTTACATGGGGAAGACATGGCTGCAGCACTCAGAGGAGAGGCTGTTTTACTCTGCATGTTGCTGTATTTGTTTCATGATTCTTCTGATGGATATAAAATACATCTAAACCACAGAGAGTGCACTGGGTGATGTGGCATTGCTGAGCTCAGTTAAATAATGAGATGTGTTTTATTCAAATCAGAATAACTCTAAGCCCTGAATACTAAATAGGGCAGCAAAAAGCCTTCAAGCACACAAAATAAATGAGTAAAAAACCCAAATGAAACTGTCTAATAAATACAATGTGGAGCAACAGGCTGCATGTACTGGAGGAATTAAGGCAATTTGAACCGTATGGGCAGTGCTGCACTCTCAGATGTGCAGCTCCAATGGCAATTGGATGCACACATCACAGGGCAGGCTCTGGCTCAGAGCACACGCCTGGATTTGATAGCATAGGTTTATGACCTCGTAATCCTAGAGCATCTAAAACAGTAAGAATTCCATCCAGCTTAAAATAGCTGCTGTAGTTGCTGTTGATACCGGCTGGAGGGCTCCCTGGCTCTGGGGCCAAATTTGGTGCTGGCATGATGGGAGGAAGTCTGTTGACAGCTGATAGCAGTGGAGTTGCACTTGATTACATCATAAGAAATTTGGCACATGCAGCTGAATCAGAAGTCTGAGCAGAAATGTCCATTCCTCATTCAGAGTTAAAACTGGGACTTCCACATTGCCAATCCACAGAGATTTGTCTGGCCCAGATGTAGCTCTTGCGTTTCAGGGTCTTGCTTTAAAAGTGCATTCCCAGTTCCACTCAGCATGGTGACTGAAAAAAAGCCCTGAAGGACTGGATTTTGCTGTCATGCCCAAAGGGATGAGCTTCCTAATCTTCCCAATGCCAGCACAATGAGCATAAGCCCCTTGGTAGCTGGTGAACTGGGCTGGATCTGGGTCACAGCAGAGGCTGAGAACACGGAGGGGTCTTAGCTCTAATTGCTGGCCTTGTCCAGTGGCCAAGCACACCCTGTGTCCAGCACACAGCTCTGGATGCTGTCCTTCACAGGAATTGCCGCAGCTCCCAGTGCGCTGCTCTGGCTCCTGGCAGCCTGTGTGGTAGAGGTGAGCTGCTGCAGGTACATCCCATCCCCTCCTCCCTTCCTGGTGCCTTACATTGTAAGGCTTGGAGTGCAGCTCTTAATGATGCTCCAAAGCCACTCCTCAAAGTAGTTCAAGAAATTAGATTATGTTATGTTAATTTCTGCTGCTGCAAAAATTGCCCCAATACTGTGTTCTTTCTTTTTATTAAAATACTAAGTTACTGAAGTGATTTCCATGAAAATTAATTAAAATAAATTAATGAAAAGCAGCTGAAAAATGGACTCCTCTACTGAAACTGTGGTATGCAAACTCAACCTCAATCACATATTTGTGGTTGCTCTATAAACACCTAAGTGTATAGCAGTGATTTGGCATGGTATTTTTTTGATGGAAAGTCTTAGAAAGTGAGGCTATACTACACAATACATTTTCTCTCAGTTTACATACAGCTTGATATAATGCATGTGCTTACCTGCTCCATTTAGTAGTATTACTAATCTGCAGTTAAATCTCTGCTCTTCAGTATTGGGAAAGAAATGGAAAAGATGATGTTAGTCTCAGGGTTTCTCCCTCATGTTTTCTGCTTTTGGGGGACAGGAGGGCAGGAGGAGCCTTTATTATGGGACTAATACCAGCCTGGGGCATGGGTTGTGCACTGCAGAAAGCAAAGATGATGAGGTGATGAGAGGATCCTCTCTAAAAACTGGATCCATTTGGGATCTTCGGATCATCTGGAGGTGTGGTGGGTAGGTTCTGCAAATGGCTCTGGCAGGTGTGCAAAATGGCTGTGCTTACAGCTGTGTACAGAAAGCAGAGCTTAGCCCCTGCTGGGCAGTAAATATAACACTTGCATTCTAGAACATGTCAGTGTTTTAGTTCCCCATGTATATTTCTTATTGTCTTGTTTGTATTTTATGTTCACTTTTCACACAAAGATGTGGCAGGAGTTTGTTCGCTTTCTCTTATTTTCTCTGAGAATGTGATGGAGGTCATGTTATTAAAGGTAGAATGTTGTGCATGTTAGAGGACAGGTATGGCAAGGTTCAGTGGGCCTTGTAAAGAATTCCTTACATAACCTTCCACCTTGAAAGGTCTGCTCAGTCTCCTCGGAGAATTGTCAGCAATCTCTGCCTGTGGGCTGCTCCCTGGAGAGAGGAACCAAAAGCTTTCACTACTGTCCTTCACTTGGAAAATGAGCTGGCTACTTTCTCCAGTGTGTCTCACCCAAGCAGAGCATCCAGCCCTTTGGGACAGGAGAGCTCAGTGGAGGCAGTTGGCTTGAATAGATTTTATTTACTATGCTCCCCCTTGGGACTGATGTGAAAAAATCCCACATTTTCTGCCTAGGAAGCTTTGTGTGTAGTTCTCCATGAGCTAAACATTTCAGAGCAGAAAGACCTCCACAGGGAAGTTTTCACCCGCTGACATTTGCCCATAACCATTTTGAACCCCCCAAGAAAAAAAAAATCAAAGTGGTTAATGAAACCAAGAAACCAACAGTGATTTTCTCTAAGGAGTGCTAGCAGTTTCAACAATTGCCATTACTTAATGTGCAAGCAGTTCCCGAGATTGTACATGCTAGACCAGCTTCATCCTTGCTATAACTCCTCAGAACTCAGTGGAGTTACATGGAGGGATTAATTTGGTCCGTAGCTTTCAGCCATCAGTTTTAGAGAATATACAACAATCGAGGGAACTATTATTGTCAGCATCAGTTTATGACTCTTTAGAGCTGCTCAGTATTTGTCTGTTACAGATACATAAGCAGGGTGAGTGTATGGAGTGTATGAAGTTACGGGTTCACTGTTGAAGGTAGTGGATTTTTCAGAGTTATTTTTGTACCATTAAAAGTAATAAGCATTCTAGCAGCCATTATTGCTGTGACTCTTACATAGATGCTTGAATACAGCTACACAGATCCTTGAAGCATGCATAGAAACATTTCATCTGGCAGACCACAAAAAATATTTGTAGATTTCTAAGTCCTGTTATTGCACCAACTGACTGAGGATCGCAGTGTTCATGTGAATTTAGCTATACTTATTGCACCAACGAAGTAAAGCTAACTTATGAGGCAGCCATGAGGGCAGAGACAAAACAGATCTTTAGAGTAGTTCTCTGTTTTCTTAGAAACCAAATTGTCTCTGTGATTTTTAGAATAAACTGAGGAAAGCATCAGCTGGTAAATCTGAATTGTTGGATGGTGAATCATGCATCTGCACATAAGTCAGATATTTCAGTACATGTCAGAAGCTGTGGACGACTGCCTGAATCTTTAGGCCGTATGTAGGATTGTCGGATTAAGTTATTTAGGTTTAAACTCTGACGGAACAGATGAGCTCACAACCAGTTCTGTTAAAGGTGTGTGCACTGGAAGTTGAGTGGTCAAAGCAACATTGCTTCCTGGTCATGGATAAGACAGTGAGCCCCTTTCCTGGTTTGGTAAATCAGCTTTGCACTGACTTCTTGTTCACAAAGCAAGGTCCAAACTCGTGTGATCCCGCTCTGGTTCCCTCCCTGCTCAGTGCTGGGAGTCCTTGCACAGCACTGGATGGTGTGTTGGCCTGTTGGTATTTCTTGCCCTCTGTTAGGGAGGCATGTTTGGGCAGTGAAGGGGAGGTTTTGTCTTGCAACCTATTGACATCTGCGTCATCCAGAGGAACGAACAAAGTTGCTCTGGCCTGTACTGGTACAGAACAAGTGACAGGCTTCCCTTTACACCACTTCTCTGAATCTTTCTGGTCTTTTCTTCTCAAGAACATTGATTTTTGCAGAATCTGGGGACTGTGGCTGAGTAAGACCTTGTCCATATTTCCTGAGAACATCTGCAAACTGTGGGGTGTCGGATCAATTCCCCATTCCTATGCGAAGTTCTTTTTCAACCTCGACTCCCCACTAAGGGAACCCTTCTGAGGGTTCATCATCCTCCACTGTGTCTTGCTGCTGTGATTTCTGCTGAGGAAAGGCCAAGAACAGAGGCCAGAAGCATCCTGCAGCCTGCTCCAGCTGGGCAGTGGCAGACCCATCAGCATCCTGGACAGCAGAAAGAGCTGCAGCTGCACCTTCAGTCCAGAGCAGTTCCTCCGCCTGGTGACTCCTGGGTGGGTGCACAGCCACACCCGCTCTTCCCAAGGAGCTAATATCCATCTCCCTCGGCTGAAGTGATTCATTAGTGTTAAAATGTCAGGACCATTAACATGCAAGTGAGCCTTTTAAAAATTTGAGGACAATGGGCCATGTCCTGGAAAAGATTTGAGGTAATTGTGTTGGTTCCAGCACCATTATCCATGAAAAATGTATTCATACAAGTAAAGGTTTGTTGGCTGGGCCTCCCATTTTTGTTAGCTTTACTTTATTGCTGTAATTACGTGCAGTGGTTTATCTAATAGAGTCATGTTCTTATAAAGAAATTAAGACAATTAATGCTACTTTTAGTGAGAGTGAAATGGTAAGTAAAATTAAATTGAATTTTGACCAAGCTTTTCTTTTTTTATTTCCTAGTGTCTGAATTACAGGAAGAAGGAATAAATGCCATTAACTTACCTCTCAGTCCCATTCCATTCGAACTAGACCCCGAGGACACTTTGCTAGGTAATTCACAAAAATTTTACATCTCAACATGAAATCTTGATGTAAAATGAAGTGTTGTGCCTGGAAAAGTTTCTAATGTTTTTCTTTTAAACCTTCCAGAGGAAAATGAAGTCCGAACAATGGTGGATCCAAATTCAAGAAATGATCCAAAATTGCAAGAACTAATGAAGGTAATGAAAGCATGTAAACCCTGTCAGGAAAGTGGAACTATTTTTTAATGCCATCCCTGCCTCTTTCACTTGAACACTTGGAAGCTCTAGTTAGATATTAATTAGTTGGAACCACGTGGTGCGTACATCCCAGTGAAATGGGGAGGTCATTTGTGGCAGTATCTTTCTCTAGATGTGACACAGGGAGACTTAGAAACTTCTATTAAAATCCTGAGTCCAGACTCTCAGTCCCGTCCCACCCCCAATCGAAGATCACGCTGATCTTCCCTTGTCTTTGTGATTCTTGGAGTTAGAACTTTAGCAGGATGCTTCATTAAAATCAACTTCAGCACCTTTTTCTTCACAATAAGATGTTGAAATGCTACTGAAAGCAAGGGAAAGATTTCACTCCAGATAATACTGCATCAATTAGTGTTTATGTAGACCTTGTGGTGCTTTGGCACAGCCACCTCAGGTGAGTCCTTCCTGAGTCTTTCCTGTTTGCTCCTGAAGGTATGTCAGACTGTATTTTGAGCCACTGCAGCTTTGGTATTCTTTCTGCTAAGAAAAATGACATGTGGTTTAAATTGCAAATGAATAGTGTATAATACTGCCAAATTTGTGTTTCCCACATAGGTATTAATTGACTGGATTAATGATGTGTTGGTAGGAGAGAGGATTATTGTGAAAGACTTGGCTGAAGACCTGTATGATGGACAAGTGTTGCAGAAATTATTTGGTAAGAAAAAATACACGTGCACAGTGTTGAGGCACTTTGTCAAGAAGTGGATCTCTTGTTCCTGCCCAGGAGCCTTGGTATCATCTTACATTTATGCCACTAAGTGATACAAAAATAGCATTGTGTTATGAGACCCCTGAGCAACGGGCTGTATGCACAGCCCTCGTGGCTGCAGTGCAACGTGTGGTGCTCTGCAGCTGATGAGAACAGCACAAAGCCTACCTGGGGTGCTGCAGAGGGAGGACTCTTGTCTTGGCAACACTATTCACTCCAATTAAATTTATTACCTGCATATGGGCTGCACAAACTTCACCATGTTACAAGTGGAAAGTAAGTTTGAAGGCAAGGGCAGTCTCAGTACCATGGTGGATGTTTTTAATCTCTGCTCGTTCCATGCTATAGTTTCTTCATCGCGAGGTTCCTCTGGAAAGTTAGAATTTCTTTCTGGTTTGATGTCTGGCTTTTAACGTGACTGAGGTAATGGTGCCCAGTGGACTGCAATCTGAGCTTCAGCTGAGAAACAGATAGAGAAAAGAAACTGCTAATGCAGAGTTGGCACGTGCTTTTTACACTGTTGGCTTGAAAGCCGTTTTTGTAGTTATTACAGCTCATAAAGTCTCCAGTAAATTTCTTTCCAGTATCCTAAATGAATCTTGAAACATCGTGTGAGCACTTCTAATAGAGACTTCACAGACTATTCCCTTCTATGAATGGTTAAGCTGTTGAATATATTGTGATGGACTGGATATGTCCAGACTGAGCAATTGGATTGTCATGGGCAGACCTCCAGTGACTTCACCCAAAATTCAAAAAATGTGTATCAGGTGCAGCCTGACTCTAAATATGCATACACTGATCTAGCACTTACTGATTTCAGAGGAATCTTTTCCATTATTCTTAATTCCTTGTGGATCAGGTCTCTGCTTACTAAATCTTCAGTCTTGTGGTGAGACTATGCACAAACTGATTTCTGAGGAGGTGCAAGAAATCTATGGAGATAGCAGCTCTTAGGCAGGTTTGGGAGATAACAGTCTCTTAGGTAGGATTTGGAAATAGCAGTCTCTTAGGCAGGATTAAGGGTTAGCAGTCTCTTAGGCTGGTGGTTTAGGCTCACTCACTTTGGGAAGATACTCAGCTGGCTTTGATGGGAACAAGATCAGCTCTTACCAAATAAGATAAATCTTAACAAGACACTCTTTTGTAGAAGTAGATTGATAAGTGACCAAGCATTTTGTTTCTGGTGTTGTCAGCAGGGAGCTGCTGTATTTTCTCTGCTTACTCTTTAAGGGTAAACAATAAACCATATATGTATATACATAGCAACTGTACTAATTGTAACAAACCAATTCATTAAGTATTTTAAAATCTACTGCAAATTTTGAGTGCAGAAAATGGCTTGGTTTCATGGAGAGAAATTGCCTGAGGTTTTAGTTGTTTTCATGAAAACTTGTTTGCCTTTCTTTGATGCATCCTCTGCTCTGTGAATAGGGAATCACTTCAGTTTTATCACTACCAGGCTAAGTAAAATTTTTATCTCCTGTATCTGAGGTAGAAGCTGAGACTGATGAAATAAAGTTGGTGTCTGTTTCCTAGGTTTGATGGTCTGCTGTACAAGCCACTTGCAGGCAGAATAACCTTCAAAAAGAAGCAACAGAAGTAATGGGCCTCATCTCCAAGTCTGGTGCTCCCTAAAGGGAGTTGCAGCAAATGTTTGTTAGCCAGTGGTGTGGTGTGGAGCAATACTTGGCCTTCTCCTTGTCAGTGTGTAACTAAAGGCAAAATGTGAATTTATCTTTAGGAGCTCAGAAGTGTGGAGGGAAAGTGGCTCTGGAAAGAAACTTAGATACAAAATTAGGAAGTCTGGTGTCTTCTGAATGTAACTCTGGGTGTATGGAATGTCTTTGTGTTCTTCATGGAGCTGACAATTTTTTTTCCTCCATTCTTTCTTCTATCACTTCAGAGAAGCTTGAAAGTGAGAAGCTGAATGTTGCAGAAGTTACTCAGTCTGAAATTGCTCAGAAACAGAAGCTACAGACAGTGCTTGAAAAGATCAATGAAACCCTTAAACTCCCTCCAAGAAGCATTAAGTGGAATGTTGACTGTAAGTTTGGTGTTTGCTATACTGTTCTCATTTGTTGACAGCTGGGAGGTCGTAGGTGCCATCTGGGGTTCTGAAATATCCAGTGGTAAGGGAGGGCTGAAACCTGGGATTTATGGTAGGAACGGCTCTGAGAGGCACTTCCAGATGTGCCACTCTGTCCTTTTTACTGGTGCTCAGCCTTCAGTTTCAGTTAGGTGTCTTCTCAGAGTCTGTCCAAGTGTGGTGGCTTGGCTGGCTCATGCCAGCTTAAGTTTTGTATTGCTAAATGGGTTTGTTGAAACAGGCAAGAACCTGCAGAAATGCACTAGATGGACATAAGGACAGTTAGGTCCTAGAACTCTCTGTGAAATTTACAACATAGATATGAATAATATTTCTGATCATTTTGGGCAAAGTCTGAACCACTAGTTTTGGTTACAAAACTCTACAATCAAGACTAATTCTGCGCCCTTCCTGTTCTGTCATATTAAGAATGAACATAGCAGTATCTAATAGAAATGTCTTCAGTGGCCCAACACGAGACGCTTCAGTGGATATGTATTGCAGAAAGCAGGTTATCAGTTTTAGAAAATTAGGCCCCTTATTCTGTTTTAAGTTTGGTTTTCAGAATCATTTCATGCTGATGAATACCTTGACCAGTACATCACATTTTCCCTGTTTCCTGTACCTGTCTTGTGCTGAGCAGTGTTGTATCCTGTTCCATTCACAACAAATTAGTTAGAAGGAGAGAAATCTCTCAAGGGAGGAAGAGTGAACATTTGGCCATTTGACTTTCCCCTTTCTGTGGTATTGCTGAATGTTTTGTCCCCTTGTTTTTTCAACCTGCCCCGAGTTTTCTTTCCATTCTCTGTTATGCAGCTGGAGGTAGGGTGTTTGGAGTGGCCTGACAATTTAACTCCCACTTTTAATTCAATGTTTTACATGTGTTTTAGAGCTGGAGTAGAGATAGAGAGCAGCAGCTGTGTCCAGCTTAGCACACACTGGTGGTAGGCAGACAGACATCTTTGTAGTGTTCTGCTAAAGCACCTCATCCCTGACCACGGGCACTCCAGCAGCATTTGCCAGCAATGCCACATTTTGTATGAATGTGTATCTGCATGGCATAGCTGAGACTTGCACTGTAAGATTATGAAGAAGGGTATTGCAGTGAATCTGATCATGTTTCAGCAGTGCAGGAAGGTAGTACTTAATGATTAGTTCAAGTACAAAAAACCTAAGTGCACAGCAGTGTCAAAGATCTTTTAGGAATACTACTTTGGGGATGCAAAAACAAAATAGAAGAAGAAAGAGAATAATAAGGATTGGAAATTATCCACATGCATGGCAATGGTTTGATACTTGATCAAGGATTTCCTACAGTTTGGCTTTTGATGTCTTTTAAGTTGTGTTAGTGTTAACTACCCATATATGAAACCTGCTGCAAAAAAACTTCAATAACAGAACTAGAACAACTTCATGAGGAATGTTTGAGTCATTGAGTTTAATAAGTTATTGCTTAAGGCTTGTGCCAAAACAGGCTCATTTATCATCCTGCAGACATTGTGACACTTAAAAATGAATAAGTGCATGTTATGAGTACAAAAATATCTTTCTGATAGTCCATAAATCCTTATTGAAATAAAGGGAATAAGAGAGAGGCAAGGAGAATGCAGAGACAGCACTTAAACTGTTGTACATAAAATCTGGCTTTTGGATTAGTTTTAGATTTCCATCTCCATGAGCCTGTGGCACTCAGACGTTGCAAAGAGTAGTGCATTGGTGCTGACACATCTTGCAGGAGACCACTTACAGATGGGGTGCTTTAAAGGTGCCCCCTGGCTCCAGGTGGCAAGAGGAAAAGAGTCCCATAATCCCTACATCCTAAGCAGAAGTAAAAATCTGTGCCCTAGTTACTTTGCAGTTTGTAACTTGTGCTTTTAATGTCTATTTCAGCTGTTCATGCTAAAAGTCTCGTAGCGATACTTCACCTTCTGGTTGCATTGTCTCAGTATTTTCGAGCACCAATCCGACTCCCTGACCATGTGTCCATTCAGGTGGTTGTTGTGCAGGTAAGAGGGGCCTTAAACAGCTCTTGGTAGTGTTGGGAAGTTGACTGAGGGGTTTCTTGAGAAATGCATCTGGAGTTTCTGGCTGGGCAGGCACGCGCGTGTCTCTTTAGCTGACAAGGAGCACACGTGCATCTTCCCTGCTGTCCGTGCTTCCACCAGAAAAAGGCACCAGTGCTTTCCCAGACTGAGCTGTGGCTCACAATGTCTTACTGTGAAGTGGCCAGACTGTGACAGTAAAAATATATGAACTATTATTGTTGGAATGTGTTTATCACCCAGAACGATCGCTAGAATTATTATTTTCCCCATTTTTTGATGCTCTTCTCACTTGTGTAGAGATTCAAATTATTCTTGGCACTGAATGATGAATTGTCACTGTTTATTACATTCACATTTATGTTAGGTGACTAACTTCTTTTTCAGCTCTGTGCATGCTAATTTAGTCTGATTACAGTGTTGGTTTTCTCAAAAGCATGCAAAAAAATCCCCATCAACTAAATCTTTTGTCAGTCTCCTTATTAGAGCCTCGTCCATTCAAATTCATGTTTTTCTGTTCATCATTTTTTGTTCAGCTGAACTTGTGCTTTCTGTCTCTTATTTGTCCTCTTCCCATTTAATCTGCTTTTCTTTCTCTCAATTAACTTTGCCTTTATTTTTCACACTGCAACTGTCTTTATTTATGTCTTTTAACTGATGTTACCCTGAAGTAACTGGGTGAAAGAGCTATTGCTCAAGTTTTGTGTGACTGAAAATCTGCAAGGCAGATCTGAGAAAGTAAACATTCTCTCTTCTAGAATTCAAATAGGACAAGTTTTGTTACTTAGGGAGAAGTCTGAAGGAGAGTCTCTGGTAAATGTGTCACTCATGTCTGGTAGTGACTCGTTGACTCAGATTCTGCTTCATGGGTTTCTCTACAGATGATGAAGGAGAGTCTCTGGGAGTCTGCACTTACATGACTAAGGCTTCAAAGAAACATAGTTCCTTTGGCTTTTATAAATGTATTATTTATACTGGTTTATCTCAAAAGTTCCACCACAAGCAGCTTAAGAAATCTGGAGTACAGTGAGCAGGGCATCTTTATGATGAAAAACTAAATGAGAAAAATAACACAGTCCTTAAAGAAAGAACCAGAACCTCTGCTGTCACTCCATACCTCCAGACAAAATTCCAGTTGAAATCAGTGGGCATAATTGTCGTCTTGTTAAACAGGCTAATGTAGTTCAACAGCAAATCCACTGAAGTCAGTGCAGATAAACCAATTTAAAACAATAAGGAGTGGGAGAATCTGGCTCACTCGTAGTTGCACAGCTGCAGCTCAGGCGCCAGTGGTTTGCAGTGGAAGCAGTTGCACCAGAATAATATTCCAAGTAATGTTGAAGGAGATTTTGTCCTGCAGACCCTGACCTTGGTGAAGGCCAGTCAGTGGAAGTCCAGAGCTCTGCTGATTCCTGTTAACAGAGGGTGGGGGCCAGTATATTTTCTGTAATTGTAATTACTGTAATTGTTTGAGACATTTCTCATTTTTTATTTTATGGTGGGTGAGAGTTTTTTTGGGTTTTTTGTTTTGTTTTGTTTTTTTTTTTAATCTGTCTTTGATATTCTGTGGGACTGATTCTGTATCATGCATTGTGTACCCTTTGAACTCACAAAAGTTTTAATCAACCATCAGCAGATCATAATGCCTAATTTAGTGGTCAGACTTGCACACCTCATGTTCTAATCATTCTAAACACTTTCTTTACAGGATGCTTTGCATCCTGTAAAGAAAGATCAAGCCTAGGGAAGCTTAACAGACTATGCAGTCGTGGTTTTAAAATTCTGCTGTGCATGGTTTGATAAAGAGAACAGGAGAGACAGAAGTAGAAGAACAAAGTACTTTTATGAAGTCTTTTAAGAAAGACTCCCTTAATTCATTTCATGATTTTGTTAGGCATAGAAACACATAAAACGTGAGGGTTGTTGTGTTGGCTGAATGTAGTTTATTGAAATAGAAAAAAACATATTTGTGAAACAAAAAATGTGCTCATGTCCAACAGGTAATCAGCCTAGTTCTTATGAAAGCTTGTTTCCTTTGGCTCTTTTGTACAAAAGCTGTTAGCAATGAGAGTGATATGAAATCTGGGTTTAAGCTGATTTAGGAAAAAATGTGATAGTTGGACCTTTTGTAGCTACTCTATTATTTTCTTTTCCTGCCATAACAGTAGAATAAATAACTTTGAACAAAGCCCAGGCTTTGTTTGATCATATCTACTGAAATGACTGAGAGCTTTTTTGGAGAGCTGGGTCTTGTCATCATTTTGCCTCTTCTTAAAAATTATGTATTTCTACCATCCACGAATGGTTAGATGACAGATTGTTTGTGTCCAAGAGATGGAAATCAGAGAGTGTAAGAATGCACTGGCAGAGCAGCCAGAATGGCTTCAGCATGTTCTGGGACAGCAGTTCTGGGGTGCATAAACTCCTCTTAGGCAGAGCTAGGAAATTACTGAGATGAGATGAGTGTGTAAATCACAACCTTAATCAGAGATCATTGGTACCACTACCTGGGAAGGTCTGAAATGGTTTGGAGCAGCACTGCCTACAGGTTCCAATGAAATCTTCTCTGGACCTCTGACAAATGTGTTTGTTCTTTCAAGCTCCAGAATAATTCTGCATTTCACTTTGGTGGGGCAATTATAAAACATGGTCCTCCAGGTGGAATGAGTTGTAACAAGACATAGGCAAAAAGCTATCCAAATTATGGCAAGATTTTCAGACTGGGACTTTGGGGGGAAATTAAGTAGTTGGCCCTCAGTTACATAAAAATGCTGACACAAGAGGAGATAAGACGAGATCTTTTCTATTTCCAGATGTGCTACCCTAGTTTCAGATTTTTTTTTTCTTCTAGGGAGTTGCCAATTTTAAATGGCAAGTGATTAGGAATATCTTCAGGGCCTTCTGTGAAGTCTTTCAGCTGTGAGGGAAGAAAATGCCAAGCCTGTTCATTAAGGTCTTCTGTCATCACTGGAATGCATGTCCAGCTTTTATTTTTAATGGGGACTCTTAATTCATAGCTCTTTTCTCAGGGACTTTCAAATAGTCGATGTTGATTTTTATGGTTTGTTGTTTCAATTTTAGCCACTGTTGCCTTTAAGGAACATGCTGTGCAGTCTTTCAGTTCTCAGCAGCACCTCTCTGTGTTTTCAGGAGTGTTGTGTCATTCTCTATCTAGTATAAGACAAACCTCACAATAGGTGACATCAGTGTTAGGGTCAATTTTGAGTGAAGAGTTTTTAAAGAGCAAGAAGCCTTCAGAGAAGGTGCTTAGACCAATGTTTTAAGGTCCATTCCATTGGGAATTCACCAGTCTTTTTACAAATCAAAAGTATATGAAAGTCTGTCTTGACATGTGCTGGTCAAATAAGTGTCCAGGGGATGCACGTTGTAGTTGGGCAGTGTGGAAATCCCATCAGTGTTAGTGGTCAGGTGCCAGACACAAAACAAGGGCTTGAGATCATTTTGGTTTGGGATTTTTTTGTTTGTTTGTTTTTGTTATTGTCAACAACAAGATTCGGGTGCAGATTTTTAGATTTTAATATATTAGCTGCTGTTTATAAAAAAAAAGGAAATATTTTTAACATCAGTGCTGGAGTATATTTCAGGCAGTTTTTATGTGCTTGCAGAGAGAAGGTGTAGAGCATTAGAAACCTTTTTCTGTGCCCATATTCCCAGTGTGATCACTGAAAAATACAGATGGCATTGCTGTGATGCTCAGCCCCTGTGGGAGGTGGGAGCAGCAGGGTTCTTGCTGCATAAGGCATCAATGCCACGTCAGAGTCATCATGAGAAGGAAATAAAGGTTTCCTTTCACCCTGCAGCAAAGGGAAAAATAAACAAAAATACCAAACGGAGTGGAATTCCAAGTTGTGCTAGCATGAACTAGATAGAACTTGGAGTTGCTTCAGTTAGGACTGGAGACAGCACTCACTGCTGTCTGCACAAGCTGCAAGTGGAGGTAGCCCTAAATTATGTCATTGTGCTGCAGACTTTGAAGGAGTGTGAGAGGCAATGCCTCTGCAGCTGGTCTGTGCCCCCTCTACCAAAATGGAGCACTCTGGCCTCCCCTCTGTCTTTTGAGTGCTCCAAGGTCCTCCCTGAATGCATTTTTCACCATGTGCAAGATATTTAGAAACTGGACTTTGAAAATATCACAGAAACCCCCTGAAACTGTCATCTCGCTGCAAGGACAGTTCACATTACTCCAAGTGCCAGTCTGGAGTGACCCACTTATTTGTTGCAGAAATAAATATATTTCTTTATATTTTTTAGAAATACAGTGTAGAAGGAAAAAATATATCAAGAAATGTATTTTAGTAATGCAGTGTGGAAGGAACAGACAAGCCTGGCTCAGTCCTCAGCCCATCACACACTGAGGACTGCTTCAGGTAGGGATGTGCTGTCTTCTCCAAGGAAGGGAAAAGCAGCAGCCCCGATTCAGATGCCATGAAGGACTTTTCTAAAAGGTTATTCTCCTTTTCTCTTTTCCACATAGAAGATGAGTCTAGGACCAGCATAAATCTATTTTTCTCATTTCCTTGTTTGACAGGGAGTGAAGAATTATGAGTAATTGCCTGATGTCTAGACTTGAAATGCCGTTGTCAGCATTTGCCTGGCTTTTCCCTGTGTACTGCAAATTTTTGGTAATACCAGCAAACAGGATTGACAGAGAGAGCACAAAGAGAGGCAAAACATATGTGTGGTATTTACACCAGCCCCAGATGAGTGTGATCAGCAAACTGAAACAATGTCAAAGTCTTCAAGTGCTGCATTTTGCAGCTGACTCAAACAGCAGTGATTGGAGTTGGCTTCTGCCACGTTGGGCACAGCCTCTGGACAAAGCCACGAAGGGCTTCTGCCATCTGACAGACATCAGAGTCACCGCTGGACCAATATGGGAGTATGAATGGAAGCTCCATTTTGGTTTCTGTCAGAAGCCAATAGAGCTCTTTGTCTGCACAGAAAGGAAATACTGAGAAGAAAAAAAAAAAAAAAGAATAAATAGCCTGGGAGCAAGATTTTTGCAAAAGAGAAGCATGGGCACCATCTGCCAAGCTGTTCATTGAAATACAGGGCTTAATTCAGCTCACCTAGACCTATATCTCCACTAAAATACTTACATATGTGTTTGGGTGTTTCAAATGTCTCGCTGAATTGGGACCTTTAAAAGAAAAGTGAATTAAGAACAATGGAGAAAGGAAAATAAATACTTCCTTCTACAGGTGGAGTTTCAGGTTTCTTGCTAATGTATAAAAGAGTTCTCTGAAATATTTGCAAGGTAAAATAATATATTACTGAAAATTGGTGTAAGAGAAGTCTTATTTTGCAGGTTTCTTATCTAGTTATGTTTGTGGATCACAAATTTTTACTGTACCCTAAGCATTGAACTTTAGTGAGAAAAATGTCGTTTTTTTCCTTTTTCCAGAAACGAGAAGGAATCCTCCAGTCTCGACAAATCCAAGAGGAAATAACTGGTAACACTGAGTATGTCAACACCCCATTTGCCAGCAGTTCAGTAATTGAACACAGATGTGTCTCAGAAATTCAAACATTTGCTGATATTTAGCTTTCAGTATTGGGGTTCCAGGGAAGATGATGCATCAGCCAGTGACTGTATTTTCTCCTTTTCAAGAGCTACAAACAAGCATCTAAAAATACAAAAGGGGGAGGAAATAGAGAGGTGGGGAACTAAAAGCAGGACTTTAGGTGTGTAAAATGATGGCAGTAAGCCTTGTATGTGCCATCTCACTGAACATTTCATAACAGAAAAGCTATTCCAAACCAAAAGGGAACAGTAGTAGAATATCCAGGTTTCTAATTGAATGGAGAGAAGCTGCACTACTGACTTATTATTAATCTGCATGGATTTATGTGTGATAGTTAAATGAAAGATCAACTGGAGCAAAATCCTGCAGTCCTTGTTCGGGCTGGATTTCTATTGAGGTTGGTGTGGTAGACGCATCTTCAAAGCAGAGGGAAAAGTTTTCACAAAATCAACATGAAAAAGCCTTCTTTACTCAGGCAAGGTGTGCTGATTTGGTTCAAAGTAGGGAATATGAGATCTGGCCTCTTGTGAGACTTTGGTGGAGACAAGAGATATTATACTGATAGACTCCAGACTAACCCTGGACTAGCTTGGTGAAGTTATTCACAAAATTCTCCTAATTCTGTGGTTCTACTCCATTATTCACCAAGCTGAAGATCTGGCCATGTGTGCTGAGTTCTGTTGCAGCACAATATCTGCAGGTGAATTATATGTAACTGTTTTGTTCTTTTCCTTTTTTTTTTTTTTTCCACAGGGCATTATCAGGAAGACATGGTAAGTTCATTTAATTATTGTGTCTTTTCTTGAGGCAGCCAGAGGGTACATGAGTTCTGCAGTGGTCATTTTGATCAAGTGGCAAGAAAGGAATGGATTTCAAGTTGCCCTGCCAAATAGGCACCACAGGCTGTTGTGGCAGTTAACAAAAGGGGGAAAAAAGCCATTAAAATCACTCTGACCATCTTTAAAATACATTTAATTGCTTTTCAGCACCTGTTAATTTGCATATGCTTTGTGGTTTAACCTCCAGAACATTACTGCTGTGGTATTAATGGTCCTGAGTTTCCAGCATAATGTGAAATGGTGTCTTATCATGAACCAGCTGGTGAATGTTGATATTCTACATCCATTACCTACTTATACTTTAAAGATGTTGAGTCATTATTCAGCAGGCCTGCATGCCATGCAAGGTCCTGTGCTTCGTGTGTCTCACTGCCAGGATTGAGGCTGGCCAGTAGAAAACACTCCCCTGAGTCTGGCTTGGTGTAAAGTCTGCCTTCTACAAATGCCTTTGGGTCTACTCTAGCTTTTGGAGTTTTTCTTAAATTGAGGAATATGAATGTTTGTTGAGTCATTTGCTGTTATTCGGGTGGCTGTTGAAACACAAATCGCTCAGAAAAGGCTCTGGTGCCTTTGATATATTTTTCTGTTTTCTTCGGAAGGTGACTGCAGTAGCACTCTAGTCATGCTACCTTAGGTTGGCTGTCCTGCTGGTAGTGCCCTAAATTGCATCTGAGAATGGCCAAAAACATCTGTACAAAGGATTGTATTGCAGGTGTGTAATCATAAACCTGCTTGAGATGCTTAATAATGCAGTCAGTGGCCCTTGGGGGAATTCTTCCTCTGTAGATATAGTGACTAATGTAAAGTCGTGTTCTTCTGCAGAGAATGATTTGGTTACTTGGCTCTCTCTACCTGGCTGTTTAAGATCTCATGCATAAAGATGCTGTTCTTCACTCATTTTTGAGAAACAGGGTCTTTAGGTGATCCACATCCCACCTGAAGATGATGCTTTTTTGTGAACAATAGAGAATAAGTCAATAGCAGCTCGCAGCAAGAGAGAAGTATGCAAACTACTTGGTACTTGGAATACAGAGACTATATTGAACTGTTTTGCTGACTGTGTTGTCTCAAATGAATGTGTGTCTCAGGAAGTGTTTATTCTGCACTGGAACAACTGCTGCTCAGTATATTAATGGCCCTGAATGTTTTTCAGAAAGAGATGCATTCGACACTTTATTTGACCATGCCCCAGACAAGCTCAATGTAGTGAAAAAGGTTGGAAGGTTTTTTATTTTTGAAATACATAATGTGTTCATGTGCATGCTTGCGTGTATCAGATGTGGTGTGGATGTGGTGTGTGTGGATATAATGTATAACTGGCATGCTTTGCATACATTAAATACAATTAAGCTTTATGCTTAAATACACAAAGTCATGATTATAATGTTACTTTTTATTTAATGTTTAGCAGCACAAACTTAACTCTGGGACATGGAACAACATATAGTTTCAAAGTTTCCATCAGAAAAGTTCTCGCAAAGTGTGTGTTGAGTAGAACCCAACTGGTACATTGACTGTACTGATGCCAACGAGATATCCAGTTTACAGCTGCCAGAGGTCTGATCCTAGAGTATTTTGGCCGCTGTCAGATTTGGGTGGAGTCCAATTACCCACTTCTCCCTAGTCTGCTAAAAATTTAGGGGTTTTCTATGTTTTAACAGTGTATTTATATATATATATTTATCACATTAATTTTATTTCTGTTCTTCATTCTTGTAAAAAATAATTTAACAACAATTTTTAATGTCACTTTTCAATTTCAAAACTTGGAGATTGTGTTGCAGTCTCTTCACTCACGTAGATTCTCTTCTGAGTGGAGTTCATACTGCTGGTGTTGAAATGCTGCCCTGCTGAGTAGGCCTTCACTGCACTGTTTTCATATTTCAGACTCTCATCACCTTTGTGAACAAGCATCTGAATAAATTGAATTTAGAGGTGACTGAACTGGACACACAGGTAGGATTTGATAGCCTTTCTTAAAGGGGAGGGATAATTGCACCATGTTATGCACTATGCCCTGAGCTTTATACAGAAATTTCACTGAATTATTATTGAATGAGCTCTGAGGTGTTATTTCATCAGGAAACCCTTCATTTCTAAATATTTACAAAGAAGACCCTCACCAATTAAGCATGTAAAACAGTTTTTTACTTCCGTTAGCATAAAAATTAATTACCAAATGGGTGCTGCCAAGCGCTGTAAAGAGGACCTGCTTGTTTTGGTCAGGAAGGAATTGTGTGCACTTGGTTTTCTCCAGTGCCAGGCTGAGCAGTTGTTTCCTGCCTACCTTTGCCCAAGCACGCAACCACATGGGATCACAATGCCTCTATTCAGGGGGAATTCAGGGATTCTCGAGAGCAAAGCTGCTCAAGTGTACAGGCAGCTGTACAGCTGGGCTGCAGGCTTGATTGCACCACAGAAATAACGTGCTGCATGCTCTTCTGTCTTGTTCTCAGCTGCTAAATTGGCTGAAAAGAAGCTAAAAGAAAAGCTTAATCCTGCTGTATTAATACCTCCCCATGTGAACAATTGCAGCAGTTATCATAAGAAAATTAGGGGGTCAGGCAGGAGGGATGGGATCTGCACTATCAAAAAACCCCAGGTGTCTTCAGGTCAGGCTTTATTTTATGTCTTGATTCATGTTATTAAGAATGTCTGCTTTATTTACACACCTACCAGCTGATAGAGATTTTTCAAAGGTAAAATTAAGATTTAGATGGAACTTTTGCTTAAAGGCTTTCAAAAGGGCGTTCCCTATTTCTGTTCATTGCACTGTTTACCTTGGGGGGAAGCATTCAAATGTACCTAGAAACTCCTTAAGCATTTATCTGAAACAGCATTCCCTGAAATGAGAGGTGGTATTTCCATCAGTTGAAAGAAAATCACCTGCCTCAGGAAGCTGATGGGTTGCTATAGACCTGATGCCACTGGGGTAGGAGTGAGAGACCTGTGACAAAACCACAGAAACATGGAATGGTTTGGGTTAGAGGGGACCTTAAAGATCATCCCGTTCCACCCCTCCTGCAGGGACACATCAGACCAGGTTGCTCAGAGCCCCATCCAGCCTTGGTCAATTCCAGAGGTGGGGCATCCACTTCCCTGGGCAATCCTGTTCCAGGACTCCATTGTTCAATAGGAAAAGCAGTGAGCTATTTTTCAGAAAATGTACTGAGAAACATTTTTTTTTCACAGTTTGCAGATGGTGTGTACTTAGTCCTGCTAATGGGTCTCCTGGAAGGCTATTTTGTTCCCCTGCACAGCTTTTTCTTGACTCCTGATAGTTTTGAGCAAAAGGTAACTAGATTTCATTTTTCTGTTAAAAACAAACATATAAATATGTCTAGTTGTAGAAGGATAACACAAACTTTTGTGCATAAGTTTGATGCTAATAGCTGAAATCAAGAAAGGACCATACTGCTAACCATATCCAAGTATTGTAAAAAATCAGTATTAATACTTAGCTGGAATAAACCAGAAAATTATATTAATGATGGGGTGGTTAGCAAGTATTAACAGATTTTGGCAGCCGTAGTGTGGTGCTGTCATTTTACAAGACCTACTGTTCATTAACATATATAGGATTACACACAGGCACTGATGATGGAATTGATTTTTTTTTGTGTCCAAAATCCAAGAATTTAACATTGGAAAGGTTTCATGGGTTTTGGAAGCATAAAGGCATATATGTACAATGTGTCGATTTAAGACCAACATTACATCAGTGTCTGCAGCTATCCAGGCAATTCATCTGTCTGTTCAAGACAAGAGCACTTCAGGGGCCATCATGTTCCAATTTCTGAACTTGTAGGAAGTGGGCTGTGCTTACTTGTAAGTAATTTTATTGAGGGTTGTATTAGTTCATGTTAACTTTCAATTACCTTTATTTTTCTGCAACCACCATCACCCAGAAACAGCAAAACAATGAATTGTCTGAATTCCAAAGACCAGATATAGAGAGCCCTGACTACTTTTTCCTTCTGAATATCTGGGTCTGCAACTTTAAATACATCTTGTCTTGACCATTTGCACTGTACAGAGTTCACAAGAGTGACTGCATTTGTTGTATTGCCAGGTTGTCAATGTGTCCTTTGCATTTGAGCTAATGCAGGATGGTGGATTGGAAAAACCAAAGCCAAGACCAGAAGGTACCTATTCTACCTTTTTTGTATCTCCTTAAAAATTTGTGTTGGCTCCAGATCTTACAAGGTTTCAGTGTGGCTAAATGAAGGTACAGTTAATCCAGCAGCAAAAGGCAAGGTACATTTTGTAGTGCTCAAGGAACTCTGTGTTTTAAATGCACTTTTTCAAAGGTTGCAGTGCTTTCTTTCTTCATTGGCCAAACATATGCAGTAATACTCCAATATTCCCTGAAAGAAGGAGAACACAGTTGTGATTGGTGTCACTGGCAGATTTCAATAGCTCCAATTGCTCCATTTTCCTCCATCTCACATTTTCACACTAAACCTTGAGTATTCCAGTAATTTATAAGATTTTCACAAATGAAGGAGATGTTGTGCAAGAAGAATTTCAAATGTTCCCATGAATGCCTTTGAATGCAGGACCTAATAATGCATATTTAAATTAGATATAGAGTTGGGGACAGACAGTAGAATGTGCTTCAGGGAGGGTAAAGGTTTTGCTGATGACTTTAGGAGCATTGGGATTCCACTCCTCTTTGTTCATACACATACAGTGTTTAAATCCAGCTTTTCAGGCTGGAGACAAAACCCTTTATTCACCAGGGTAATGGGTATTTCTTGTAGCTCCTCCTGTGAGGAGTTACTACTTCTTACCCTGCAGGAGCTGGGTGTGCAGCTTCTCCTCCCCTCTTCCCACCAGGAATGATATCTGGGTTCCTGCTGGCTACCTGCCACAACAATCAACCTAGCTGTGTCTTTTCAAGACCAATTTCAAGCTTACATTCTGTGGTGCTCACAGTCTTTTCCTGCCACAATATTGGATTGTCATTCCCTGAGGAGCTGACATAAGCTCACGTCAGGGTGTTGCTTCTAACAGTCAGAACTCTTGGGAGATTCAGGCACTCGTTGCTGAATCAGATTCTGCTCCATTCAGGGTTTTTTCCATCCCTTCCAACTTCCAGGTTATAACAGCCACAGAGACACACACACACACAAAATAATGTATCTCAGGATTGAGCCTGAGCATTAAATCTGGACCTACCTAACCTGGGTTTTTTACTTCTTTTGACTGCTTGAACTCTTATCCACAGTCATGCTTAACTGTACCACTGGTGTGTCACAAGCCTTTATGTCTGAAATAGTCAAAGTGAGAATGGGGAAACAGTGAAATGGAGGGATCCAAGTAAAACACAGAGTGTCTGTGATCCCTTACTCCCCATGGATGGTTTAAAATTCTTATGGCATTTAATTTTTCAGGTATTTATTGCTCTAGGGGACAGCTAATTTTTCCAGTATAAATCAAGCCATAAGGATATTTCAGCATATATAAGACATTTCTTGTGCAATTATTGAAATGCTTAATATGAAACTTCCTGCCCAAAGTGAATGGAAAAACACATCTGTTTTATGTGTTGTTACATTGGGCACAATGCCCATACTTAAAATTTCCAGTGAGCAAAAGAGTATTGAAAAGGATCTTAACCTAAATGTGTACACTAAATACTCTTTGAATTCCTGCACTGTTTCTTTGAGGTTCTTGAGGAAAAAATATGCTGAAAAGTGCTTTAGAATATGAAAAACATATTTGGTGGAAAAAAAAAGAATGCAGTTAAATAAATGAGTATGAAAACCAATGATTTTTATGGGGTCAACAGTTTATTTGGGTTATTTGCAATATAATTGAAAAGGTCTTAAAAAGCTTTCTGTGACCTTTTACTTTAAAAATGGCTGGAACATTAATTTGCTGAATCTATAACGAATTCGTTTGCAGTTCGAGCTTTTTCTGAACTCCTTGCAATGTGTACATCAAAGCCAAACTCAAGTTTCTCTTTTAGAAACTTGCAACCAGTAAAATGTTACATGTGTTGGTCAAACCCATGTAGCAATGGAAGTAACCCATCTTTCTCTAGGAGTGTGCTTCTTTTACTTTGAGCCTTTCTGTGGGATTTTATTGTGGTGGTGGTATTTTTTTTTTTGGTCATGTCTTTGCAAAGACCTAACAAAGTTACTTCTTTAATAATAGAAGTTCTGTATTTGGAAAAAAAGTAATTCTGCACCTTGCTGCTGGCCTGAAAGAGGAAACTTCTAATGTTGCATGCAAACAGTATTACATATTGCAGTGGGATGTTGTGGTGGCAATGCACCCTTCCTGCAGCTTTTGGCATTTCCTCTTCATTTTATACCAAGCATTTTTCATCAGATTTATAAAGAGCCACAAATCAATGCTGCCTCTGGTTATATGACCATGCACACACCCACAATAAAATCTAGCCTTGAGTGTTTCCACCCTTTGTCCATGGATGTAAATTCAATATCTTTAGTAGGATACCATGCATAGGTTTTATTGGATTAATTATTTAAATGTGACCCCTTCACAATCTGTGAGAAACTTTAATGTAGATTAATATAATGGCTAAACTCTGATGACTGGGCTTACTTGGAGGTTTTGGCCAATTCCAAGAACCACAGTTAGGAATTTGAGTTCCTATGCATTCAGCAGAAAGAGATAGGACAATTCTGATTCCACTCTGCTCCTTCTGAGGGCAGTTCTGAATCCCTGTTTGAGACTGACTAAAGCACTAGTGTAGACTGCTGCAGTAGTACTTGTCAGTTTGTTTTATAGATTTCTTGTGAAATAATATTGACTTTCTCAAGAACTGCTCTTTGAAACAGAAGGTATTCATTAGCTTTTTGTTTCATATAAATCCTTTACTTTAGATGTTGAGTTTCTGAGGACTGATTCAGCCATGAATGTCAGCTAACTCAAAGAATTTTCAGATGTTGGTTCAAGGAGCGCTTGTATACCTAGCTTCTTTAGATCCTCTGGAAAATTAAACTTGCCTCTAGCTATCTTGCTGAAATTAGGCCTAGTGAAGGTTGTTGCAGCCCAGAATGTGCCAAGTCCTACAATTCTTACATAAGAGAAAGGTTCCATTGGTTACTGCCTGATGCCTTCTTTTCAAAGTCATTTCTTTCCAGTCACAACTGTCTGAAGATGAAGTCATACAAGTATGTGTAGTCCTGGCCACACTTTGACTCAGGAGCATCTGAGCTTGGCTACATTTCATCAGCAGCAGCAATAGCTATTTATATGCCTAACTAGAAGTGGTTAAAACACCAAGTTTTGAGTTGCCAGTTTGAAAATTGTGTTTTACTGATATTTCTACTCTTTTTTTGCTATCCTTGTGATCTAATGTTCATGGTTATTAATGTGAGCAAGGGAAAGGAGTAGAGAATAGGCACTTTTCCTCTGGAAAACATTTGGAGCTAATGAAGTTACTAATTTGTCTTCCCTTGTCTTTTTTCTAGATATTGTAAATTGTGACTTGAAGTCCACGCTGAGAGTACTGTACAATCTGTTTTCCAAATACAGGAATGTGGAGTGAAGAATTGATTTGAGTCACAAAGGAGTGTTAACAAAGAAAACATCATACCTTGCATATCTTCCGTTTGTATTCCTCTGCATCTCTATCCTAAAAGGAACAAAACCATTTACCTGAAGAATTTTTGGTTATTAGTTGATTATTCTGGCACTGCTATTTTCACAGTAGATTTAAAACTAATGTAACTTATAAAGAAAAAGGGATTGGGGGAAGGTATCTGGGTATTTTCTGGGAGAATTCATGTATTGGTTGTCTTCACATTGTTTTTAATAGGTAAAGCAACAATGAAAAAAAAAGTAGTAAGTTTGATTCAAATCAGCCTTTGGGGCCAATCATAGGAATATTCTCTACTGAGTACTTAATTATTTTTTACATATAACTTTTTTAATCTGGGAAGGGGAAGAGTATTTTCTATCCATGATAAGACAGTTCCATTCTAATTGTGAGGAATGTGCATGGGGAGAAAGAGTTAAATACACTTGTTCACATGACAGCTAAGAAGAAGAAACAACCTGCTGAATATATAGTTCCAGTGCTATTATTAGGCTTTAATTTTTTGGGTACAAACTGAAGTGGCTACTCATTCCTTCAGACTTACAGTGATGTGATACTCTGCTTCAATATGTGCTATTGAGCATTCCACAGAACCACACTTTGCAGCTTGTCACTTGTTTTTGTTGAAGGAAGGGATCTTTTTTGCAAAGAACACTTTTCAGGAAGACACACCTGTATAATACATATTTTCTATAATATTTGTATTATTACTTCATTTTAGAAAGTAGAAGAATGGCTTGTTTTTATTTTGGCAGTTTAACCACAGGATTATCAGATTGCAAGTTTAGATTGATTGCTAAATAGAATTTAGAATTGTCCCTTTGGTTGATTTTGTGATGAATGTATGTTGCTGCATAATGTTCAACACAAAAAATTAAGATTCATTTTCTAGAAATGGTCAAAACTACTCCCATCTGCAAAGATTCCATTAGAGTGTAAAGTTCTTTGGTGATTTTACATGGCTACAAAGATTTTTTCTAAAATTTAATTTCCACCAATTGAGCTATTATCTGTTTGGTTTTAGCTTTAACAAGGACACAAAAGGGAAATGGGAGTTGATTCTTCCCTTAGACTGTACCAAGCACCAGTTATGCTTCCAGAGGAGGCGGGTGGACGCTGCCTGGATCACTTCTGAAACAAAGTGTTCCATTGCAACCACAAATTCTTGGGATCCTGGTTTACACAGTCGGGAAAAAAAATTCCTCAGGCTGAAATTCCTTGATAACTCTTCAGAAATCTTGGGAGTGCTTAGTGCAGGAAGGAGACTTGTTAACAGCCATCCAATTACAGCAGAGCTGGCTTAGGTCAAAGGAAAAGTGATCTGTCAGTGCTTGACTCGTCACCAGGAGAAAGGCAGAGCTGGCAAGGTCACTCAGAAACAGCTGGGTGTTACTCATGATGTAAAGCACTACATTTTTCCATTTTCCAGGGGTTTTTATTTTTCTTTTATGTAGAGCTTTCCAGTACAACATCAGCATAGAGGGAACTCCAGCAATTATTTTCTGTCTTTGCTAAATGCCAGCTGATGTTTAGTGATAAGGTGATACTGACTTCTGTTGGGGGGCTACAAAATTATTTTCCTGAGAAATAATATGAACTTTTCAAAGGGAAAGTCACTATTCAATTCAAAGGACAATACCTAGGTGTTTTCCATCTCAGAAATTATCTGATTGTAAGAAGCACTCTAAATATCTTTATTAAAATATTTTCTTACCTGTGTGTTTTTAATGGAGGTTGTGAAATTAGAGGTACAGAAAACAGCAGTTATTTCCCCTTTACAGGGAGAAATAGCTGGACATTTTGACCTCAATGAAAATGAACATTTTCATTATTGCTTTAGTATTTGAGAAGCTAAACAATAGGAATTAACCAAACTTTTTTTTGAGCAAACTGAGGCAGAACTTCTCATGTATATATCAGGAGCAATTTCAGCTTATTTTAATGTTTAACATGCAAGTTCTTCCTTTGCACACCTAGTAGTAATTGTAATAGCTAACTAAAAAACAAATGATGTTTTTTATGCAGACCATGCTCAGCAACACTTTTACTACATTTCAACAGTGATGAAAGATTTTGACAGCCTTTGTTTTCAGGAGTGCATTCTTTAAAGAATTTATATGGGTAAAGTGAACACTGAAGCAGTTTTCTTTGCCTGGGCTTGCAAATAAGTATTGCTTGTGCTATATTGGTATAACATTATTGGAGATTTATCTGTCAGGCTCCATTTCCATCCTTATAAAACATAAAACTGAGACAGAATTATTAAATCCTCATGCTGAAATGCAATTATGCAGAACCATAGAAGCATTTAAACAATATCCAACCTTTCCACAATTATCTATCCTATGGTAAGAATTTATGTAAATTAAAATCTGCTATATAAACAACAGTGTCCTATGTAAATATAGATCCATGTGATAGTTTTAACACTTACACACAAATAGTATATGCTGCCATGTAGGAGTGGGTCACTGCTTATATTTTTGACAGTGTAGATTTAAATAGCTATCAGATAAATACAAAATCTAATATAGAGATTATATCTAATATTTATTGCTTTGATTCAGAATATAAGAGAAATATAGAATACTACTGTAGACAGCTTGCTTTACAGCAGTTGGTGTAGGCCAGCCCTTTCCTCCAGGGAAGAGAAAAGTTATCTAGGCCAAATTCTGCCACACCTACGTTTCTTTTATTCTTGATACACAGCAGTGCCCCCTGACACACTGCTGAGAGCAGAACTCTCCCCACTCTTTATATAGAGATAGAAGTTGTTTAAATTTTAGCCAAACCCAGGTTTATTTATAATTACCTAAAATGATTAAATGGACCCAAATCGATTGATTTAGCTCACGTGAGACATGAGCAGCCACCTGGAGAGGCCAGTTCCTCTCCGGGTCCCAGAGGGAGCCTGCTGTCTCAGCACTTCGGATCCTAAAGCCGAGTAGGGAAAATCCAAGGCCCTGCCTGAGGATCTCGTGGTGGTTTTGGGATCTCACCCACCAGACCAATGTGCCTGTCTCTTGTGCTGTGGCACACAAAGGCCCACAGGCAGCTGAGCCCACCAAAAGTGGCCAATTCTTGGCCTGCCTTGAGTAGCAATCAAGCAGTGAACTTTGCTGCTGCTGGGGCATTGTGAGACCCCCAAAAGAACCATTTTCTGTGGGTTCTGATTCGTGTGCATCCAGCAATATGGTATCTAGGTTTCTTCTGTGGCTGGAGATGGGCATCTTTTCCCTCTTGATGGATCCTGGTGTGCTCTTTTAACCACACAGAACTTACTGTTTGGGTTTTTTTTTAAAGAGGAACTACAGGTTTTTCGTAGTGTGTCAATAAGGTGTTGTGAAAATAATTACCTAACATCCTAATACCTTGAGGTCAGCTCCTTTCAGATTTCTTTCTCAGCTGACTGGCTGTTATTTGTCATAAAGAACAAGTCCTATAAAAAGGAATCTTTGCATAATTTTACCCAAGACACACTCGTAAAGCCACGAATTGGATTGCTCTGTATTTCTGATGGAGTCCAGACAAACCAAGTTTCCTATTAAATTTGCTGAAAACTGCAGAATATGCAGTTCTTTACATTTCCTAGTCAGGAGTAGCTCCATGTTACAGAGGGTAGCAGCCCTTGCAGCTCCATGGCTCAGGAATTCAAGTGGACCAGCAGGAGCTGGATAAGGTCCTAATCTACTGCAGTGAGTTGTACAAGTGGCAGGAAATCACCAGAGCCTCTCTTGCAGAGCATTGCAGTGCTGGGGAATGGTTGCATTCAAGCAGACCATGATGATTGGGGTACTTGGTTGGCTTTTGTTCTTTTTTATTTTATTTGTGTTCTTTTGTACTTTTTATTCTGGAAGTATGGTTTTAAATTCATGTTTCAGATTATTTTAGCAGACACCTTACTGCAAGCCACAGTGTTGTAAAGCAGAATGGCTTTTAGAAGTTTATTTCATTAGATAAATATGTATGTGATATTTAATATACTAGATGCCAGCCTTAGGTCTAGTTTTTGTTATTCTTGTTTTCCTCTCAAAACAACCTTCATTAATGACCAAGCGTCCAAAGAGAAAACAGTGCCTTGAAGACCAATTACAAGATTTTTACACTGTTACCTGTAGTAGGCTTCTGTCATTTTATTGTAAGAATTAGTGTGGGCTTTCTCTTCACAGTCAAAGTACAATTACAGACTGAAGAAATCCTTTGTAAAAAGTTACAATTAGCTTGCCTGAAGGTATTTTATTTTGATTTGTCACATGAAAAATTGACATAGCACCACCAAAATTTTAAAATTAGGCATACCTCAGTATCCATGGATTTTTCCAAAGAGGTTTTGAGTCATTCAACATTTACAAGGGCTAATTTAATGTATTCTAAAAATATTTTGTCTGACATTGTTTCTGCAATAATGAGATTTTCTTTTCTGTCTAACAATTTAATACCATGCCTGCTGCAACAATAATAGAGTCATTGGAACATTTGGTCCTCAATTTCAGTATCAAATTAACTGAGAAAAAAGAATATTTTCAAAATTTGCTGAACATGTATCCAAAATTAATAATTATTAGTTAAAGTTAAGCTGCATTGCCTTCAACTGCAGAGTTAGTAGCTTTCACAGAATATATGTACTCTGTAAGTAAAAGACACACTCTTGCTGATTTTTTTTCTGTGCTTTTCCTGAAACCTTTTGTTATGATCCACAATAAAATCTGCACCTGAAAATCAACACTGCATGTTGTTGTTGGGTCGAAGGATGAGTTGTCTGACAAAAAATGAGGAGAGCTGTGTGTTTTGTGTTCTCGAAACTTCCAGACCTCTCCATGCACCCAGCCCTTTTCCAGTAACCCCTTTGTGGGTGTGCAAGGTGTTTATTATTATATTCTGTGGGGGCTGGTGACAGCTGAACGTGGGTTGGCAAAAGCAATCATGTAAACATATGTTTGAAATGATTAACAGCAGCAGGTCAGGAAAATGCTGTCTCTGACTCAAAGTAGCAAAGAACACCTTTACTTTTAACTTTGTGGTGCTGAGCACTTCGGTGGGGATATCCCAGCTGGATAAAATGCAATTCTCTGCAGAGCGATTTTGTTAATTTTGAATCTCACAAAATGTTAGCAAAACATTGAAATTATATTGTCTGTGTCAGAAAATAATTGCATTTAGGAAGATTTTGAGATCTATTTTTTTATAAACTTGTTTTTGTTGCGACCCTTTAATGCAGGAGCTTGGAACCAGTCCAAAATATAGGCATCTAAAGTGCTCCAGAACGACATTTATAGCCACTGAATTACTGGCTGGAGTCCAGAAGCAGGTGTTTGATCTTTAGGTCCGTTTGTAAAGCTGAAACCACCAAGCAGAGCTGCCTAATCAACAGGGAGCACTAAAGACAGGGTGAGTTTTAATGCCAGTCTTCAATCCTAGTCTGTTACTCAGGGCTGGATAGAAGCAATTCTGCTTGCTTAGGATCCACATTCTCAACCCCCACCATGAGCACTTGGATCTTTTGTCCTGAATTTGTGGGTTTTGTCCTGAAGAACAAGTAGGCTTGCTCTTCTTCAAACATTGCAGTAGAACGCAAAGGTCACGGTCTGGCTGCCTCAATCTTCTCATTGCTGTTCACACAGAAAGCAAAAGATCTGGCTTTAATACCCTTCTGCAGCCATGGGAGTTACTCCTCCTCCTTTTTAGAATCCTGCAGTATGAAATGAAGGTGAAACAGTGTTTTTACCATTGTTGGAGGGGCACTGTTGATGCCTGAGCTGTAGTCAGTGTGTAGAGTAACTCCACATTACCTGGGACAGTAGGAGAGCAGAAGAGGGAGTGTAGCTGGTGATTAAGCTGTTGAAAAAGTGGAAAAGGATTTGGGGGATGAACCTGTCTTCTGGGCCTCCTGTAAGGTCTGCTTCTGTATTTCAGTCAATCAAAAGGTGTTAAAATTCCCAAACATAATTTTGACGAGAAAACAGACTGACCTCTGTCTTGCCTCTGTTTCAGTGCAAAGTTCCTGCTGTGCTTCTGCTTTCAGTCCTCTCTGCCAGGACACTGCATGGTAGATATGTAATGATACCCTGAATACAGGAATGGTGATGAAGTACTCGTCTTGAAAGGCTCACAGTCTGCAGGAATGCAGGAGGAGAAGAGCTGTGAACTTCTCCTTCTGGTGATAGGAACAATTATGTGTGGATTAGGGACCCAGTGCCCTTTTCTGTACCTTTCTGCCTTTAAATTGTAGTATAAAACAAAGAGCTTTCTGCCTTTAAATTGTGGTATAAAACAAAGAGCTAAAAAGGGACCAGTGAGGCTGGGGTGGGTGCCAGTCCCTGGGGGCACAGGGACCAGAGGAGATAGGAAGGCTGTTAGCTTAGAAGATTCCCACATTTCAGTGGTGGAGAGGTGAGTAAGTGTGTGGATTTCCAAGGTGACTGGGGGAGGAATCCTTCCCCTTGAAGTGCTGCAGGGCCATCAGCCTCTTGCCAGCATTACAAGCTGCTTGCATGTGGCTGAGACTTCCCTCTCTGTGACAGTCACTTAAACACTTCCATGTGCGTATTGTTACAATAATAGAGCTTTGAAGGCGTAGGTCCTGCGTTTCTGAGCCTTCTGTACCTCCAGATCTTTCTGAACTGTTTGTTACAGCACTCGAATAGACAGAAAGGATATCATTAGAGCAGTTCTGTGTTCTCAATGGCATAAAAACCTTGTGGATCTACTGTCTGGAACCAGCACTCACTCCAAACAGTCATAACCTCCAGCTTATTTTTTTCTGTTATCAGTTCAAATTAACCCATTAGCTGCACTATTGTGAGTCAGAGGTATATGACTCATGTGAATAGAACCCATTTCTATTCTGGTTTTAATTAACTTGGCCTCCACCCAAATCCTCCTTAGAAATGAAAGATACTAGATTAGCTGAAGTGTACAACACATTTTTATGGTTTGTGCTAAACTTACATGTGTATTTTTGTGAGATAATGCTACCAAAAAAAAAAAAAAAAAAAAAAAAAAAAAAAAAGATTCCTATGGATGCAGTAGCCTGAAAGGTAAGTGACAGAACTGCTGTATTTGACAGACTGTTAAAGTATTGGAATTAATCTAGTTGGGTTGTTTGCTTTGCAAACTGTAAGAACGGAAAAAAAAAAAAAGAAATTCAGAATTCTAGTGCATTGGGAAAATATTTCCAGTCTTGATTCAGATAAATGGAAAACAAATTTGTGGTGGTTAGAATTTCAATAGAAGTACAGTCTTAAGGTGGCACTTCTCATTGCGATTTTCCTAATTTTGCTGCCTGGGATTTTTTCCTTTCTTTTTTAGGACAAAATGTAAAGATTTGGTCAGTATACTTATCAGTATTTCTAATTTGGTCATTGTGCCTTCTCTTTATAAATCAATATTAAAATCAAATAAACTCCTCAAATTTAAATTGCAGGGTGGGTAATCTGAGCTACTACTTAGAGTACTGTCAAAACAGAAGTGATACTAATTATATTTACACAAGTTCAAAAGAAGCAAAATAAAACCAAGGAAACAAAACCACTTCTCTCTAATCCTGACAGAAATCAAAGCTTGAATCTTATTTATCACTAAACTTTCCTCATGGCACTTTAGGGATTCTGACTGCAGATGGGAAGCAGGCACTCAGAGATTGTCGTGGGGTGGGATGGCTGCACCGGGTATCTAAAGAAACAGGCACAGAATAAAAGCAGAGAGGCTGAAGGGAGAAGAGAGAGGAATGTGTCTTCCTGTGATCACTTAATAGTTTGCAGCATGCTCATGTAACACAGGAGGGTGGGCCAGCTGGACACAAGCTAACCCAGAGTGATCAATTAATCAGGAGTGGGCTCTGTGTGCCACCAGCTCTCTGGTGAATAGTAAGTTGGGTTTGTGCTTTGGCAGGGCCCAGGTTTCCTGGGCATGAAGAGGAGAGCTGGAGGGAAAAGGTCAGGTTTTAGAAGAGGCTGAGTTTGAGGTGCTCTGAGATGAAAACTTGCATGTGGACCACTACATCCCAGACTGCAGTGCCACAGTTTAATTCCAGTGGCTTAGAGCACTTAATGGAGATCTGCCCTCAGCTCTGCCTGCTGCCAGTTAGTCCTGATAAAGCCCTAACTCACATTCTCCTTGCCTAAGTGGGGACATTAAGGCTTTCATCAAGGCAAGGAAATTAAAGGCACGTAGCAGACTCAGCTTCATTTAGCCAGAGCTCCATGTCCAGACCCAGAGATTTTTCTGTCTTGGAGGGAGCACTGTCCTCCTGTGCCAGACAAGGTGGTGTGGCAGTGAATTGTTGCATTCTGCACTTCCCAATCATTGTAGAAAGTTACCCAGGTGGTAGGAGGCAGAGTTAGGGCACAGATTTATCTATTGATATTGTAAACTGTTATGCTGCATTTCAGGAATGTGTGTATTCCTCAGCTGGAAGTTTTGAGCATTAACTTCTGAAATTCCATTGCTTATAACTAGACCTTGCTTTTCATTTTTCTTTTGCTGCAGTGGATTTCTTATGCCATCATTGGTTGAGGTTGGATATACCAAACCTGTCTAGGTTCCCTTTTCGTGCTTATAGTAATGTCCCTCTATTGGACAAAGCTCCTTCATATAATCTATAAAGCATTATAGAGCTGCACCAGGGTGCAGAGAATTATGTGATTATTTGACAGTAATGGACAAATTTCTCAGAGTCACCTCTCCCTCCTTTGGGGATATTTGTACAAGGAAATCTGCATCAAACCTCGGGATGTTCCTGTTACCGTGTGTGCTCAGAAATGGAAAAGATCCAGGGCTCTCCTTCACTTTGTACTCAAGGAATGTTTACTTGTGCCACTAGAAGGGGGAAGAATCATTTGTACCCTGATGTGACAAAGAGGATGGATCTTGCTGGGCACAACAATCCCAGCACCTTCATTAGAATATTTCTCAGCAAACCTGTAATTTGCCTTCTGAGCACTTACAGGAATTTAAGCTGAGCTATCTTGTGCTGCTGGGTCTTCAACACTTTAACCCCAGAAGTCTTGTGACCCTCTGTTCTCTCCTCTAGTGTGACACAACTTCACCCCATAATTTTGGTGTCAAGACCATTAACTTCTTCTGCTTCTAAGCCTTCTTTCCCAATGGCTCAGTTACCCAGGCAGACCTCTGGGATGGGGAATGAAACACCAACAGAAAACTGCTCTCTTAAGCCAAAAATTTTCTACTAGGTGAATTCCCCCAATTAAAAATCAGAAGATTTGTTTCAAGGAATCAAGACGCACCTGTTATTTAAACACAATTTCTCTTTTATTACTGGCTTATTAAAACTCACCATTCTGTATTAATCAGCATTTTTTAATTAACATAAAATTCCCAAGGTCTGGTACAACTCCACCGCCCACAATCCAGTTCTATGCTGTTCACTTCTATTTAAACTACATATTGCTAGAGCATGTGGGATTATATTGCATGCTGCAATTATTTTCAGGGAGGACTGTGACACTTGGCCTTGATCTTGGCTTTCTCTAGTACAGAGCACTGTAAGTATTCTATATTTATTTATAACTTGCTGAGGGGAACAACAGCGGCTGCCTGACACCGTGCACTCTCTTCTTTAGATTGTAATTCTCAGATAGATCTCTCAGGAATTACAGGGAGGAGAGCTTTGCCATTTGGAGAAAAGGTCTTACAATTTAATCAGAACACAATTTTAGCAAAACAGCTAGTTCAATCAGCCAGTCCAATTATGGTGTGGGTTGA